AAAAAAAAAAAAAAACAAGGAAAAGGCTCTTTATGACTTAAAAGTAATAAAACAAGACTGTTCTACATTATCATTTGTGTCCTGAATGCTTTTATTTATCTCTTAATTTCCCCCTTTGGATCCCCACCCTTCTGGGGTTGGACTTTACTCTTCTTCCCATCTCTGTCGGGTTTCCAGAGCATCCATAACGATGTGGTTAGACCCATTTGTTTACAGTACTCACACCCTTCCCCCATCAGCCACCACCACCCAAATTATTGATGTGTTTTCTCTGTCTGCACCCAGCCTGGAGCGGAGTTGTAGCAGAAACCGCCGGTAATTAAAAGGCAGAGCACGCATTGACTCCCTCTATTCATTTTACGCATTTTCTTTTTATGGGCTTGTTCATCATCAAACATTTATGGTAGGCTTGATAGTTTAAGAGATCAAGGCTAGGATTTTAGTATGTAGGGTCCACTAAAAATAGATCCTTGCACAGATGTGACTTCAGCCTTTTTACATATTAATAAGATGAAGGGTGCCGGGATTTTACTCCTTGTTAGCATTTCTCTCTCTTGGAACCCAGAAGACACGGTTGGAGGTATATCAGGACGCAGTCCTTGATTTTTATTTTGCAGAAAAGCATTGCGAAATGCCTAGATAAGGTTTTCCCCTCTGGAGTGTTTTTAAAACACTTATTTACATAAGTCCACAGCTACAGTATTTTACTTTTGACTTTCTGAAACAGTGTTTTAGGTCAGTCTGCGTGTGGGAAGCTGCGGGGTGGGTTTCAGTTCACACGTATAGCCATCCAGTCACCTTTGGGTATTTCCAGTTACATTTCCCTTTTTTTTTTTAAGTTTATTTATTTATCTTGAGAGAGAGAGCGCACGCATGTGCTCAAGCAGGGGAGGGGCAGAGAGAGAGGGACAGAGAGAATCCTGAGCAGGCTCTGTACTGTCAGCCCAGAGTCTGACGCGGGGCTCAAACCTATGAACCATGGGTTCATGACCTGAGCCAAAACCAAGAGCCGGTCGCTTAAGCAAATGAACCACCCAGGCGCCCCCGCCAGTTACATTTCTTGAATCCCATCCAGAGGGTCAAGCATGTCAGGAACACAAGTTGACTAGAATGTAGTTCTTGCCTCGTCACTTACACGGAGAGATGGGCAGGCTCTTTGTAATTGCCCAGGAGGAAGTGGCCCAAAGGTTTGGGGCACAAGGGTTACATTTGAGCTGGTTCTTCAGAGAAGGAGTTCTCTGGACAGCTAGACCAGGCAAATGGGATAACTTGTACAAAGTAGCCAAGTGTGCTGTGACTGGGAGATAAAAGGTTTAGGGGCCTTGAGCAGGGTCGTTGAGATGAACCTGCTAGAAGCAAGGCTGAGACAGGGAAGAGGGGCCCGGTTACCATGCGCTAGGCTTTTAGCTGACGGGCCGCAGGGCATCTTTGGAGTAGATGAAGCAGGAAACACATGTATTTGTGCTTTAGAAATCTACCTGGCAGCAATGTGGAAAATGGATCAGTCCACAGAAAGTCTGTGGACCACCGGGCAATGCTCCAAATGGCATACCAAGTAGGTGAAAGCTCCACAAGCAAAATCTCCCATGTCTGACTTCAGATTCTTTAGAAAAGGGAATTGAATCTGCTCTGCGACCATCCCTTCTTTTGCTAAACTGAAGATCTTCCTTCTCCTTATGTGACCGACAGGTTTGCCCTGCCTGGCTGTCACTAAATGTAGAACTGAAAGCTAGTCTGAGTTTCATTTTTAATTTTTTAAATTAATTTATTTTGAGACAGAGAAACAGGGAGAGCACAAGCAGGGGAGGCACAGAGAGAGAGAGAGAGAGAGAGAGAGAACCCCAAGCAGGCTCTGAGTTGTCAGCACAGAGCCCATTGTGGGGCTCCCTTTCACAAACCTGTGAAATCATGACCTGAGCTGAAATCTAGAGTGAGA